ACATAAATTTTGAAGGTGTCTAGATGATCATTTTGTAAGTTGGAGTATTCAGCTACACAACTGAGACGAGTTGAGGTGTCTAGATGAGTGCACATCTAGACATCTTACTAGCAACTAAACACTCCAACGCATCTACACTGTGTTTCGTGGACACCTAACACTGATGTGACACATAAATTTTAGAGGTGTTTAAAGGTGCACATAGACTATTTCTGTTTAAAAATCCAACTCTTTTTTACCCCTTTCCTAGAAGCTCCATCTTTTTGTTCCCTTCGTGACTCAATCAAAACCACAACCTTACGATCGGAGATAGAAGGTGCGGTACCATGTAAAACCTTCTCTAGAATTCAGAACCCATAAACTCAAAATTCTAACTCGGCCTCTATTCATCATAACCAGGGACAGAGCTAGAGTTGTAGCAATAAATTCAGCACAATCTAGTAGCTTTGGTTCAAAACACTTAAATTTGGCCTCAACTGACAAGCAAACACTCCAACTCCGACCGTGCACATCCAAACATCTCAACTTGTTCTCACACTCCAACTCGTCCACATTATGTTTCGTGGACACCTAACACTCGACATGACACATACATTTTGGAGATGTTTAGAGGTACACAGACTATTTGTATTTAAAAATCCAATTTTATTACCCCATTCCTAGAAACTCCAATCAAACCCACAATCTCAAAATCCGAGATAGAGAGTGCTTACCATCTAAAACATTCTCCAGAATTCAGAAACCATAAACTCAAAATTCTAGCTTCATCTCAAAACTAGAAATCTAGTATCTTTTACAGAATTCAAAGCTCATAAACTCGAAATTTCAAATATAAATACCATATTATAAAAAAAAATTAAAAATGTAGACTTACAGAGCCAGGAGTAAAGGAGTCAGTATAACTGCCTTCAGTTTTCTTCATACGAGGTCTCATATATGGATCACAAGATAAGTAGAGATTTTTAACCAAAACAGTATTTGAATCTTCTGGAACTTTCAATTTCATACTACTGATTTTTAATTCCATATCTGATTCTTTTGGAAATCCATGTACATAATCTTTTAGTAAGATCTGTTTGTTACTAATTTCTTCTCCCATTTTTTCACTCTAATTTTTTTTTTTCACACACTCTCTATGTAATGAAGAAATATGAAGAGAAAAAAATGTGAAAAAAATGGGCGGATATTTCAATGTATGTAATTGAATTATTATTGGTGTCACAATAAGATGAGGTGCTTTAATTATGGGTCTTGTTTATGATAGGGATATTGGCTTAGTGGGGTTTGTTTTTTTAACTTTATTTTATTGCTCATCCAGCTGTCTAATACTCATATTGAATTCCGCTTAAATTTAAATTCGCGATGAAAAATTCCATATCAGAGTAAAGTAAAGTGTTTTTCTTAAATAAGACAACTATGTTGTACTCTGAATTCGAACATGAAATCTGCGATTAAGAATGAAGAATATTTATTATTCCATCACGATCTTTATTGGAATATTGGTGATGGAGATATTGGCTTAGTGTTATATAAACTTTGTGACTTTTTCTCCAAAATCAACTTTTGTGAAATAAAATAAAATGTCTCAATGTCTTTTTTTTTCTTTTTGTAAAGTAGAAATTATAATTTGTGGATTCTGTTACTTTATGGAATCATTTTTAAGTAGCATATATATTCATATTTATTCCCAACCATTTATAGTTAAATTATGTGCAAGTCATACATCAATCATCATTTATCACATGTCATATTAATTTTTTTTTCTTTTTCTTTCTCCCCATCTTCTTCACTTCAACTTCTACAAAAGCATCTCCAATGTAACAATCATTAATTAATATAACAACTTAGTATATAAATAATACATTATTACAAAAGAATATAAAATATATCATTATAATTAGATTATCCATCTTCCTTATGTATAATATAATTACCAACTATATTTTCATGTATAAAAGTATATTTTGTTAGTATTATTTATAAGCATCTACTAAGTTCTTCAAAACCAGAAGCTCTTCCTCCAGCATTAACACATGAAGCTTCAGCTCTACCATTTTTATAACTAAGATCCACATCTTCAAGTGTTATTCCACTACATGGATTTGTTTTGCTACAATCTAATTTCACCGCGATTTCTGTAGCTGATGTTCCATGTATGTCTTCATACGTTACATCACTTATCTTTACACCTGAGCCCTAGAAAAAAAGAGGAAAATGAATCATATAAGGAAAAACGCGATTGATATTATTCATCTTATTATATCATAATTGTGATAATCAATACCTGATTAGGACAACTTTCATGATTAGGACAATAATTTTGATCTATGATTATTGGATTTTGAACATTAGTCATAACAATATGTTGAAATAAAACATTTCTAACAAAACCATTGCTAGGTCTTGCCCATGTTTTTACTCTCACACCATTCTCAGTACTCGTAAAGGTAACCATCTTAACTGTCACATTTTGTACTCCTTGCTCTTGAGATTCCCAACCTAAGCTTCCAATGCTACACAAATATCGAGATTTTGAACATGCATTTTAGTAAGAACGATAAATCAAACTAAATTCACTAAAAAGATAGGAATTAATCATTGATATGTTGTGTTTCAAACCTA